CTCAAGATGGAGGGTTACATCTTTAGGGGATCCCTGATACATGAGCTGCCCCCGGGCCAGGATAATCAGGTGATCGAGAAGCAGCTGAATACGCGATGAAGGCTGGTGAATAGTGAGAATGACAGTGCTTCCAGAGCAAGCTATATCGTGCACCTTCTCTATCACGCTATGAGCGCTTGTTGAATCTAGACCTGAAGTCGGCTCATCCAAGAACAGCAGAGAAGGTCCATGTATGATGTCTACTCCAATTGACACCCTACGACGCTCACCTCCAGACACACCCCGAGTCCCTTCATCGCCTATGTATGTGTTTCTCGATGACTGCAACAGAAAGAAAATCGGACAACGAAGTTCAATTGAGGAAATTGTGCCATTTCTTTCCTGAAACAGATTGATGGAAGAACTTACCGTTAAACCAAGCTGCTCGATGAGCCTCTCAACGCGTTGTATTTTATCCTCCCTCGAGATTGATCCCAACCTAAAATCAGCAGCGAACATCAGCGTCTCATAAACAGTAAGCATTGGAAAGAGCCTATCGTCCTGCATTATGTATGCCGAAGTTCTCTTAATCAAGCTCGGGCTTACTTCCACCCCATCCAACGATACCATGCCCTTAAGGCTTCCACTTGCAATTCTTCCAGCTAATCCATCTAAGAATGTAGATTTTCCAGCACCACTAGGCCCCATAACTGCAGTAATTTGTCCTTTGCGGGCATAGCCGGTTATACTATGCAATAAGTCCACTTCTTGTTTCTCCCAGTTTCCATTAGCATCCTTCTGCTTCTTTATCACAGTGTATGTAAGGCTGGAAAAAGCCAAACCCCCAGTAAACTTTACTGGTTTCCCCATATCGATCACCGTCTCCATACGATGACCATTCACATGTGTCATTCTGCCAAAAAAAAAAAAATTTTTACACTAAAACTTTGATTGGAAAATAAACGAAATTATACAAGAAAATAAGAGATTATCGGAGACAAGAAAGTTAACTTTTCTTGAAACCTCGTGAAGTCTCCCTGGAAGCGTGGGATGGGTCGAAGAGGGAATTATAAGGTTGTGAATTTGAGAAGGACATGCAAAGATGTTGGGAGGTACTTCCTAAGTTCATTCCAAGACTGTTTATGCATCGTGTAAACCGTTTTACGTTGTTTTGATCGAAAGATAAAACAGGTTTTCCTTGTTTATTTCGTCAACTATTCAAATTTTTCTGTTTGTTTTGTGCAATATTATTATCCTAATTCAGTCATAGTAGGCTCAATTTTGTAGGGATTTTAAACAGACAAATTAGTGGAAAAAAAAATCCGGGCAAATGGACAATACAATGCAAAATGAGGTTGCCAACTGTACAAATTAAGTGAACAAATTAGAAAAATAATATCTGATGATTAATATAAATAATATTTTGATTTGTCTATGTTTTAACTAACATTCCATATGA